TCAATACCCAAAACCGGAACGCACAGTGTGAACCAGGCCAAAAAGGACCCTACTACTTAAAATGTTATACTATTTCTGCACATTACCAGTCCCTATTTCAAACTCTTATTTAAATACATAGAAGGTGTAGGCTGACCTGTAAAATTCCCCCAATACAGCTGGAGCTATGGGAGACTCACATCTCCTAAGATTTAAAACGAAACAATTGATCCAACTATCACAGATTTACTCCACTAATTATAAACTGGATTGGATCAAATTTGAATCTTGAGAGGGTGCCTGATAGACCTCCCTATGTGGATATCATCTGCAAATCACACAGCTCTTTAATTTACTCATTACATCTTTGGGACGCAGTATGTAAGACTTTCCCTTTTTAATCATCTCACACACCAGTGGCCACCCTCTTTAGTAATCTGCTGTTTCCTGTGGGCCTACACCAAACCAATTAATGTGGTGGATAAACAAAGGCCTATATCAGATAGACCACAATCAGACCACCAGAATATTTTCTTCAATCTGATAAATTACCCCTCCAACAGGCATGAGAAATAGAGCTAGGACCAGAGATATCCAAGGATGACTGACCATGGTATTCACTATGATCCATTCAGTGACTAACATAAATGTACTAAAAGCTGAATTAACTGAGGACATTCTCAGACACACCCAATCTCTCATATTTTACATCTTCATATCGGCTAAGACTGTCGCAAAAGTAAGAAAATAGCCTGCAGTTAATGTACTGTAGGTGCAATGAAGAATACAGTTTCTTGGATAATGCTACATGAGAAGTATGCTTTGCGACAAACAGACCAGATTTGAAAAGATTTGGAAACCTTGGCTGCGATACCTGCAACCAACATTAATACCTCATGCACGCTGATGTGTTTTGTTTTTGTTCTTTTAACTCCCCTAGAAGACTACTCACGGCAACAGAATTCTGGCCCAAAAATACCCACCTAATGCTTGTAAAAGTGTGAACTGTTTTTACATGCGTTTACATGCATATACCCGCGTCACGCGTTTGGGCGTTATTTTTTTTAATGGCCAGAATTATTTATTCTGGCCAATAAAATTAACGCTCAAGTGCTAAACGCATCTAGCGTTTAGGCACGTTTACGCATGTTAATCATTTTTATCTGTCAAAATGCCACTGCTCCAGGGCGTACTGGCAGTGGGGGTTTTTTCTGCCACTAAACTCTCCCATCACAAAACGCTGCTAAAAGCCTATGTGTGCATGGACACATAGGATAGCATGCAGGGGAGTTTAGAGGCAGTTATATAAAAAAAAATGCCTGCTGCCCCTAGCAGCAGTTTCAGAAACACCCAGTGTGCACAAGGCCTAAAAGTTAGAGTCCGGGGAGGGGAGCCGGGACCAGGACCAAGAGGAGCGGCTCTTGTATTCCTTCTTCTGCTCTTTTCTTCCCCATTTCTTTTTTCTTCCATTCTTCTTTTCTTCCATTTTCATTTTCTTATTTCCCCCGCTGTGTTCATACTGTCTATTAGCACTCTAAATTGATTGTCCAGTTCAGCACCATAGATAACTTCTCTGATGTTACAGACTACTGCAACTTACGATTTTTTTTTCTATCATCCTCTGAACTTTTGTTTATTATAAAAGAAAAGTCCAAAAGGGGTTCTTACATGTTAAAACCAGTATCTCTAGCTAAAAAAATTACTCAGAACCCCTAAACATTATATATATATATATATATATATATAAAATGTTTAGGGGTTCTAAGTAATTTTCTAATTTTCCGGCCAGAAATACTGGTTTTACATGTAAGAACCCTTTGGACTTTGGATGTCACACACATACACACACACACACACACACTATATTGCCAAAGGTATTAGGACAGCCCTCCAAATCATTGGATTCAGGTCTTCCAATCATCTCCATGGCCACAGATGTATAAAATCAAGCACCTAGGCATGCAGACTGCTTCTACAAACATTTGTGAAAGAATGGGTCACTCTCAGGAGATCAGCGAATTGAAGCATGGTACCATGATAGATTGCCACCTGTGCAATAAGTCCATCCATGAAATTTCCTTGCTGCTAAATATTCCACGGTCAACTGTTAGTGGTTTTATAACAAAGTGGAAACAACTGTGAGAGTTTATGTGATAGACCAACACAAAGTGGCACATAATTGTGAAGTTAAAGGAAAATGATAGATGGTTTTCAAAATTTTGTACAAATAAATATCTGAAAAGTGTGGTGTACATTTCTATTCAGCCCCCTTTACTCTGATACCCCTAACTAAAATCTAGTTGAACCAACTGCCTTCAGAAGTCACCTTATTAGTAACTAGAGTCCACCTGTGTGTAATTTAATCTTAGTATAAAAACAGCTGTTCGGTGAAGCCCTCAGAGGTTTGTTAGAGAACATTAGTGAACAAATAGCATCATAAAGGCCAAGGAACACACCATACAGGTCAGGGATAAAGTTGTGGAGATGTTTAAAACAGGGTTAGGTTAAAAAAAAATTATCCCAAGCTTTGAACATCTCAGGGAGCACTGTTCAATCCATCATCTGAAAATGGAAAGAGTATGGCACAACTGCAAACCCACCAAGACATGATCGTCCACCTAAACTGACAGGCTGGGCAAGGAGAGCATTAATCAGAGAAGCAGCCTAGAGGCCCATGGTAACTCTGGAGGAGCAGCAGAGATCCACAGCTCAGGTGGATGAATCTGTCCACAGGACAACTATTAGTTGTGCACTCCACAAATCTGGACTTTATAAAAGAGTGGCAAGAAGAAAGCCGTAAGAAGTCCCGTTTGCAGTTTGCGAGGCACCATGTGGGGGACACAGCAAACGTGGAAGAAGGTGCTCTGGTCAGATGAGACCAAAATTTAACTTTTTGGCCTAAAAGCAAAACGCTACGTGTGGCGGAAAACTAACACTTCACATCGCCCTGAATACACCATCCCCACCATGAAACATGGTGGTGGCAGCATCATGTTGTGGGGATAACTTTCTTCAGCAGGGACAGGGAAGCTGGTCAGAGTTGATAGAAAGATGGACAGAGCCAAATACAGGGCAATCTAACAAAAAAAACCTGTTAGAGTCTGCAAAACACTTGAGACTGTGGCGGAGGTTAACCTTCCAGCAGGACAATGACCCTAAACATACATCCAGAGCTACAATAGAATGGTTTAGATCAAAGCATATGCATGTGTTAGAATGGCCCAGTCAAAGTCCAGACCTAAATCCAATTGAGAAACTGTGGCAAGACTTGAAAATTGCTCTCCATCCAATCTGACAGAGCTTGAGCTATTTTGTCAAGAAGAATGGGCAAAAATGTCACTCTCTAGATGTGCAAAGCTGGAAGAGACATACCCAAAAAAGACTTGCAGCTGTAATTGCAGCAAAATGTGGTTCTACAATGTATTTACTCAGGGGGGCTGAAAAAAATGCACACCACACTTTTCAGTTATTTATGTGTAAAAAATTTTGAAAACCATTTATCATTTTCCTTCCACCTCACAATTATGTGCCGCTTTGTGTTGGTCTATCACATAAAAGCCCAATAAAATACATTTATGTTTTTGGTTGTATCATGACAAAATGTGGAAAATTTCAAGGGGTATGAATACTTTTTCAAAGCACTGTAGATACCCAACATGTTGCACTTTAAAATTGCACATGCTCGTGGAATGGCACCAAACTACGTTATTTAAAAATCTCCATAGGCGATGCTTTAAAAACCCTTACAGGTTACCAGGTTTGAGTTACACAGGAGAACTGGTGCTAGAACTAGAACTCTCACTCTGATGTTCGCGGCAATACCTCACATGTGTGGTATTATCGCCGTTTACATATCGCTCTGATGTTCGCGGCAAAACCTCACATGTGTGGTATTATCGCCGTTTACATATCGCTCTGATGTTCGCAGCAATACCTCACATGTGTGGTATTATCGCCGTTTACATATCGCTCTGATGTTCGCGGCAAAACCTCACATGTGTGGTATTATCGCCGTTTACATATCGCTCTGATGTTCGCGGCAATACCTCACATGTGTGGTATTATCGCCGTTTACATATCGCTCTGATGTTCGCAGCAATACCTCACATGTGTGGTATTAACGCCGTTTACATATCGCTCTGATGTTCGCGGCAAAACCTCACATGTGTGGTATTATCGCCGTTTACATATCGCTCTGATGTTCGCGGCAATACCTCACATGTGTGGTATTATCGCCGTTTACATATCGCTCTGATGTTCGCAGCAATACCTCACATGTGTGGTATTATCGCCGTTTACATATCGCTCTGATATTCGCGGCAATACCTTACATGTGTGGTGTTATCACTGTTTACGTATGCATGAGGGCCCCACGTATGTGTTCGCCTTTGCGTGCGAGCATGGTGGGACGGGAGAGCTTTATAAATTTAATTTTATTATTTATTTTATTTGAATTTTTTAATTTTTACACTGTCTCTTTAATTTTTTTATCACTTTTATTGTTATCACAAGGAATGTAAACATCCCTTGTGATAACAATAAGCAGCCGCAGGTACTCTTTACTGAGACATATGGGGTCTATTAGACCCTAGATGTCTCCTTTGCCCCTATAAGCATCTGATCACACCAAGATTGGTGTGATCAGATGCTTTACCAATTTTTAAAAATGACACTGTTTACATCCAGTGAAACCTGAAGTGAGAAAATACTAATCGCTTCCAGGTTCGTATACCACAGAGATGATCAGAGACGATAGAATCCAGAGAGGCACCGGCAGGAGGGGGGGTGACCCCTCTCGCCACCTGTAAAAGCAATCTATCGGCTAATTAGCTAGTTTAGCTAATAAAGGCATAAAATACAAGACAAAACTAAGGTACCACAAAGAACAAAATCAATTAGGCTTCAAGAAGTAACTATGTTGCAAAAATATATAATAGCTTGAATGAACCATCTGCTACACTTTTAATCAAATATAATTTTACATCAACGCTCTTGACAATGGTGGAAGATAAAACACTGACCTTTCCAAACTTGTGCTTTAATGGCAGGCCAGCTTTCTGGAGTGCTGGAATCAGTTCAGGTTTGTAGTTCTTTATGAATATGCCTAAATCCACATCTTTACTGTAAGGAATAATATTACACTGTCGATACCATCCTACAAAAAATAAATACATATTATTGTTAACTGATCTGGTCTTATTACCATAATGAATATTAGAAATCTATAAAATTTTAAATTACATAGTCAGGTGGAAAAAAAGATACGTATCCATCATGTTCAACCAATAGAAAAATCAATTAATTAATTGATCCAGTTAATCTACAGCAGGAGCTGTTTGCATTTATAAGGCATTGTTTGCATGTACACCATGTGAGTGCATATAACATAAGGGATACACAATAAACCTTTTATACAAAAATAAGGCACTATATTCCTTTTCTTTTCTTGCTACCATGATGGAGGAGAAACCTGCAGGGTAATCATCTACACCGCAGAGATCATCACAGGAGAACAGAAGGGAGTCTCACCATTCATCTCTTCCTGAAGGATCTAATCATAGAACATCAAACCATCACCTTATTGAATCTAAAAAGCTTGGCTTGCCTAGAATGGACTTACAGGAAGGTGAGCGCATAAGAATATCATAGTTGCAGCAGAGATTTAAACAGTGATGTGAACATACCCAGCTAACTTTGGACTTTTATATATACAAGTTTTAATATTTGATTTGTTCACATATTCTTTACTTCAATTTTATTTTATTATTTTCTATATATCTTTTTGGTCCATATCATTTTATGCAAAAATATCTATTTGATAGATTCACATTCATTATCTCATACATTATTATAATATAATTACTAATACTTTACACCAAGTGGACGGTAAATTTGGTTTGATACAATTAACCACCACCACAACCCGTAAAAAAGATAAATAATTAATCTGTTCATCTACTACAGGAGCGCGGCATCTATTTTAAAATAATTTATAATTATGCACATAATAATGAGAATGTGATTTAGTGCCGGCGAACCAAAACTTTACAGTTTATTATATGTGGCTCACAAGTTATTCTTATTCATATAGTTTGGCAGAGGATTGCTACTACACCCATCAAATCAAATATTGATGTGTTAGTGTATCAAAAATATTATCACACTAGTTTTATGTTGCCCTCTTTTACTTTTATAATAATGAATATTACAAAAAAGTGACATTTTATTACTCAGACAGGTCTATTATCTACTGTATATCAGTGATCTGCCTGACTTTTTCTGCTCATCAGCTATCCTTATTGTTAGTGTATTTTATGTGTGACCCAAAACAATCCTTCTTCCAATATGGCCCAGGGGAGTCAAATGATTGTACACCTCATCTAGAAGAAGGCAAACTTATACAAAACAAAGTAAAAAACTGATAGAAATGAAATGCTAATAAGCACTGAAGACCAGATCACACCAGGTGCAACAAAACTATGCTGGTTAGCCTTGCAAACTGCTGCTTCGCAACACTGCTTTGTCACTAGAACTTTATAAACTATCACACTGACATTTCAATAAAGTTCAGAAAAAAAAGTAAACCATTCAGAGTGCCGGGATCGATGCATCAGCACAGCACATCAGAGTGGCACTCCAAGTGGCCATGCTTGGTGTGAACAAATCTGGAAAAATTTTATTAGTAGAGACGAGTATTTAATGTACAGGCAAAAGTTGTTTTTCAATATTGGATGAAGTGGTGAGCGGTTATAACCCTTGTCATGCTTTCATTGATGTCTGCATCCCTGCATGGGATATTCACCCTCTATGTGTCCTGATGACCACTGACCACAGATAAAGCGTGAAAAATCCAACATTTTGAGTTGTCATCTGAAAAGGAATAGAGAGGAAATATTCCAATAGGAACACTTGTTCCATTTACAATTGTCTAAAGCTCACCTTGCAAGTTACAATTTGAACATACAATACACTTTAGATATACATACAACTATGTTATATGAGCACCAAATCTATCCAATCAATATGTATCCAATCAGGTAGGCCCTTACACTACATAGCTGTTGGTAGATCTAAAGCAGATTGTATAGTCAGAGTGTACCATGTGGCAGGCATAAGAGAGGATTTCCTTACCTTTTGAAATATTTCCTCTTACTTATTGTGTCTACTGGACTAAAAGTCAAACCCGAAAGCACAGTTTTGGCTTTTGATAGAATTATTGATAGAAGTATTCATATTACCTAAACATGTACCACTGCTGATCCAGAAGCTCATTCCCAACACATCCAAAGTGGAAGCCGCCAGATGTAGCAATGCTCTGGCCTTTTTACGGAAATCAATCCCTTCCAGAGACAAGTCATCAGGATACAGCTAAGAAACAAACTCACATGAGAGTGCTTTACATTCTGTTCCAACATTGTGCTGAATTATGCTGGTCTAATTATAAACTACTAAAGAGAAAAGTGCAGAATTAATTCATAAGGAAAAAATCACATTGAATCTATAATGTATACTTTACAAAATAATTAAAGAAAAACTTAAATATCTTCACTATAGATCCTACAATCAAAACTGACAATTCTATAGGTAAAAATTAAGTTCCAGGTAAGCAGCTAATTATACAGCTGAAATGTATGCGCACATATGTATTTCCTATTTTGTTCTGGCAAAATGATATGCAGTATAAAACCAGAATGCAATTTCCTATTTTGGTGTAAGGTGAGTATGTCAACAGGATTTGAATTATGCTCCAAGGAGCATGCTCTACCACTGAGATTATTTGCCCTCTAGAACACACAGTTCATAATTCAGTATCCACAGCTACACCACAAGAAGCATATACTACCAATCAACTTCCCACCCTTTTTCTGTCTTTGTACGACTCCAAGCACCTGCCATCCTTTTCTCCCTGATACTCAAGGCTGCCACACATGGTTTGAATTTCAGCATGAATCAGCCAAAACCCATTTAGATGCAGTCACTGTTCAGGTATTCTGACATCCACGGACATCAGAATACAGTAGCAGGGAAGATTTATCCATCAGAGCTGTTTAGCATGAATAGAAAAATCCATTCAATTTATTTTTGTTCTTCCCACAGGCTGCACAAAAGGAATCAATGCTTTTATGGTCAGCTTTTACCTTTTACACCTGCTCCTCTCTAACTCACCAACCACCATATTACATTCATCGTTGCAGTCTCTTCCTGTGCTGAAACAGGCACACTTTTATCATTCATAATTTTGTTTAGCCAGTCCATGTGGGGAGTTTCTGACGGTAGTTAAAAAGAACATGCTACATTTGGTTTTCTAGAAGGTATATGTAATATGTTTGTTATATGTGATGTTGTCAGGACGCGGGTGTTCTGCAGCATCGCGCTTGGCGGCGCATCCGCAGAACACCAACACGCTCTGGCCGGCGGGCGACGGGACCTGGACAAGCACGGCTGCGGTGGCCCGCGCATGCGCACACGCGATCACGCGCCTGGCACCAATGACAGCGCAGGGCGGGCTATTTAAACAAGAACAGAGGTATGTCAAATTGCCGTTTGGTCTTACCTGCTCTGTTCCTGATTCTTGTTCCTGTGATTATTCCGTTGCCGACCTCTGCTTTGTACCTGACCCTGCTGACTTCTCCTGATTAACCCCTGGCTTGCCTGACCATCCTTCTGCCTGATCCTTGGTACCGCGCTGCGCTGCCCGCTAATTGCTGAACCTGGCTTGTGACTCCAACCATTCTCTTCTTACTCCTCTGGTACCTCGCTGCTCGCACAATACCGACCCAGCCTGCCTGACTACGCTTCACGCTACTCGGACGATCCATCCATCCCGCACGGATCACTCCCTGTCAGTAAGTCTGCCAGCCTCTTCACATCAAACTCCGTTTCTCACACACCTCTGACGGTGCCTCTACCATTGCCGGACGTACTCAGGGGTCGCAACCTGGTCTCAGTCTGCACCAAGTCCATCCCCACCATCAGGGGCCCTGGTGAATAGCAGATTGGGACTTAGACCCCGCTCCCTAAGGAACTCCATGCTGTGGGCTGCTAGAGACACCGCCAGGCGGATCCTAACAGATGTTAAATGGATATAACCTGAGATAATTCAAATGCCACATGCAGACTGAATTTTAGCAGAAAAGTCTTCAACAAACAGCTTAGTGGTGAAAATATAATTTTATTACATATAGACAGAATTAAAAAGGGAGCAGCTGGGCACTGGCCTCTTTTCAGCGTTCATAACCTACCTGAAAGAAGGACCGTGCTTCTCTGTATCTGCACTCAAGAAATCTTGAATCAGACATTTCTGCTAAAAATCGCGATGGATCTTTCGGGATCTGCAATTTCAGACCATCAGCAGTAACCTGGATAAGATCAGCTCTGCAATAAGGAATATGGAAAAAGAAAAAGTTATCAAAAAGTTATCAAGATATCAAGTTATCAAATATATTAATTACTCATTTAAGAATCCAGATCAAAAATCTAAATAAGTTGAACAACATTTATAATATAATTTCTTATTTAACCACTTGCCCTCCAGAGGATTTATCCCCCTTCCTGACCAGGCCATTTTTTGTGATATGGTGCTGCGTTACTTTGACAATTGCACGGTCATGCAACGCTGCACCAAAATTAAATTTGCATCCTTTTTTCCCACAAATAGAGCTTTCTATTGGTGGTATTTGATCGCCTGTGCGTGTTTTATTTTTTGCGCTATAAACAAAAAAAGACCAACAATTTTGAGAAAAAAACCCCAATATTTTTGACTTATTGCTATTAAACATGTCCAGTAAAAGAATTTAAAAAAACAAATTTCATCATAAATTTAGGCCACAATGTATTCTGCTAAAAAAAATTCCAATACGTATAAATGAATTGGTTTACATGAAAGTTATAATTTTTACAAATGGTGATATATATACTGGAATTAAAAAATTTTTTTTTTTTTTTTACAAGTAATGGCAGCGATCAGTGACTTGTAGTGGGAGTAGTAGGCATTCTGACACTGGGGGGAACTGACTTGGTGTCACTGATATCCCCAGTGACACCAATACAGTGATCAGTGCTAATAAAAAGCACCGAGACTGTACTAATGGCACTGGGCAGGAAGGGGTTAACATGTGGGGCGATCAAAGCGTTAACTGTGTGCTGTTCCGCAGTATGCTGTGTGAGTGCTTTCCACTGTAAGCACACTGCTTTCTATGGCTCTGCTATGCAGAGCCATACAAAGCAGTGTGCAGGAGCTGACAGGGAAGAGATCTGTGTTCTTTATACACAGGTCTCTTCCCTGTCAGAGATAATAAGTGATCACCGGGTGCTGGTGAGTAATCGATGGCTGGGACCCCCCGGGTGATTGACAGCCGAGGCCGCGAATGGTGGCGCAGGTAGGGCATGCGCGCTCCTCCTGCCCAGAGCTGCAAAATCACGTATATATATATACACACACACACATGATTTTGCGCACACCCGTGCTGCCCTGTAGCATTATTTCTGTTATAGGGCGGCGCAGAAGCGGTTAAGAACAGTGCCTAAGTGGTTAGCATTTCTGCCTAGCAGCACTAGGATCAACAGTTCAAATCTAAACTGAGGCACTACCTGCCCTGGAGTTTGCATGATCTCTCTGTGTCTGTTTGAGTTTCTTCCCACATTCCAAAGACATGCTGGTAGGTTAACTGGCTCCTGTCTAAATTGGCCCTAGTATATGTATGTATGAATGTGAGTTAGGGACCTTAGATTGTAAGCTCCTCAAGGGCAGGGAACTGATGTGAATGTATAATATATAAGTGTAAATTGATGGCGCTATATAAGTACCTGTAATAAATAAAACTGTGCTGGTCCAGGCATACAATTGAAATACATATTGTACATATCTAAAATGCCAAAATACATTTGTAATTCTGTTGAATGATCTAAACACTTCATACCAGGTAAGTGACCTCAGATTCCTTCACTGCAGTTAATTAAAACAGCTTGGTTATCAATCTGTTCCAAACCTGCTGAGTGAACAATGATAAAGCATCAGAATACAAATGAGTTTACCATCCTGTTCACTCCTCCTGTCAGCAAGCTTCATTGTTAAACTACAATGCAATAGGTCCCAATTGGTTCTTCTTGCAAACAAAGCCCTGCTAAATATGGGATTACAGGTAGCTATTATAAAGGCTGATTCAGGTATATATACTAAATGCATTTAAAACACATTTAAATTCTTTTGATTAACATGATACTAAAAGATTTTTTTTAAATAGCAAACATGTCATACTTACCTACTCTGTGTAATGGTTTTGCACAGAGCAGCCCTGATCCACCTCTTCTCAGGTCCCATGCCATCGCTCCTGGCTCTTCCCATCTGCTGAGTGCCTGTTTCTATAAGACAAACAGACCGCAACTCACCCCTGCCACCTGCTCCCTCCTCACTGGCTGTGATTGAGAGCCAAAGGCTCCTGCTGCTGTGTCTTAGCCAATGAGGAGGGACAGATGCGGAAGAGTCACTGCTCTCGTGCACATCGCTGGATTGAGATCAGGTTCAGGTAAGTATTAAGGATGGGGGGGTGAGATGTGAGCTGCACACTGAAGGATAGAATGCATGAAGGTAAAAAACCTTCAGCCTTTAGACCCACTTTAAATATATAAAAATGTTTATTAGTGATCTTTTATTATTTAAACAGCATTCATTTTTAAGTCACATAGACCCAAGCATCCAGACAGTTTGGGGCTTTCTAAGCCTTGTTTTTAGAAACTTCAGCATACTCTGTAAACTGTATTATGAATACATCCTGTATTAAATGTGTATTTGTAAATTATAGATTTTTTTATATAACATAACAATCTATAAATATTATATAAAACAACACATTAAGATGCAAATGCTCAAAGTAAAAAAATATTTATTAGATTGTAAGTTCTCAAGAGCAGGTCCCTCCTAAACCTCTTGCCATGAATTATATTTTGTACTGTCTTCTTTCATATTGTAAAATGTTGCACAAATGTTTGGCACTATATAAATCCCGTATTATGATAATAATAATTTTATCTGAAACTGAGCAAACCTTTATACTTAAAGTGTTACTAAACCCAGGACACTGCATTCACTATATCTGGTCTCCCACAGTACACGGAAATGCAATTATTTTAGTAAATATAAAAACTGCTAATTGCCTTTTCTCATTGGCAGTTTATAGCAGTATTGTGACTTCTATTTGTGTCCAGCCGAGAACTGCTTAAACCTTGTAGGAGGAGTTTTCATTCTCCTCTGACTGTCCTATGAGGCTGCATGACCCCTGACCCTCTGTCTGCACAGTGCTCATTGGCACTCTTCCCCCCCAAAAAATTACAAGCAATACACACTGAACTGAGCATGCGCAGAGTGCCTCCTAGGGCTTTGTACTATCAGCAGATGGATTGGAGACAGTAGAAGACGAGGATCAGAGAAGACAGGATCAAACATCCTTTTTACACAATGCGGAAGGTTAACCCATTAGGTTCCACAGTGAATATAACAAGCATGCTTTACTGCATATATAGACTGATTTTACTGTTGTGGGTTTAGTAACACTTTAAGACTAAGGGCCTGACAAATTTGCTTTGAATCTAGGAGCCAGCTAAAAAAGTTAGGAGCCAGTTTTGTAAAACAGCTGCCCGGTGTCCGGAGCTGCATGTCTGAGGAATTGTTCACACGTTGTGTGAAACGAATAAAAAGAATGAAACTTTTGAAAAACAAACCCAAACTTTTTTTTAGTTTCTGTTATAAAATTTTGCAAATAAGTAATTTTTTTCTCCTTCACTGATGTGTCCTGATAAGGCTCCACTGATGGGCACTGATGAGGCTCCACTGATGGGCACTGATGAGGCTGCACTGATAGGCAGCATTGATGGGGCTGCACTGATGATCAGAGCCCTGATTATCTGTGTACACTTCCCCTGTCACACTTGTAGGTTACCGGGTCTGCTCTCCTCACACTGTGACAGCGTATGAAGAAAGTACTGCCGATAACCAGCAAGTCTGTTTACAATGTGATCAGCTGTGATTGGATACATCTGATCACATGGTAAAGGGCAGCTGTGACTGTCTCTTTACCACGATCATGGGGGGGGGGGGGCAGGGTGTGCATGGGGGGCTTGGTTTCAAAGGAGGTGTATGGATGCCCTCCTGAAACAACAGAGCCGCGCTGTAGCCGTCTTTCGGCTATAGCGCGGTAATGAACAGATGGCTGACAAAAGCTCAGGCGCCAGGATGCAATTCCTAGTTGTCATGGTGACTTGGCACCTGGGATTTGTACAGCCCTGGATTGCATAGTGGTATATTGAGGACTTTGAAAGATTTTTTTTTTTTTAAATTTGAAAAGGTACTATAGGCATCTAGGGCTCTCATCAACTTCGATAGTGAAGTATCAGGGTGAGTATTAAAGAGGAACAGGTCATCTGTGAACCCTGCCATTTTATGATTGGTGGAAGATGTGGTCATTTCCTTGATGTCTAGGTTGGATCTGTTCTGTTATCTAATTTAAACCCAGCTGTCAAACTGGTAAGGAGATGTCAGAGGTGGGCGGGCGGCGGTGAGGGCAAGTGAGGGAAGCCCTCAGTCAGAATGGCAGGCGCACTGCGCTCATCACGGTTAGACGAGGGTGCCGGTTCCCACAAGCGATTACTGTATACCGTTCCAGCAGGCTGCAAAGCCGTGGCCTCAATTGCCAGCCAGCCAACCTCTTGGTCTGTGCACCCGCAGCTGCAGTGTAGACCAGGTGCCAGGACGCAATTTAGGCAACCTGGCGCCTGGGATTTGTCAAGCCCTGCTTTAAGAGAACTCTAACAGACTATAGATATCTCTTCTGCCAAAATAGAACTCTTTCCATTTTTAAAAGCTAATTTTAATATATTTGCACTCCATTGCAGTGCACTTGCTTCCAACTGCTGAAAACTGGAGTTATGTAGCAAATAACACAACTTCATCATACATCACTGGCCACTCTATGGCCGTAGGAGGAGGATGTTGGATGTTTCCGTAAAAGAGCTGTTATCAATACCACAGAAGTGCATGCTTCTACATTAAGCCATGTATTCTCAATAAACTTCCAGCCCTCAGTTTACCTTTATTAGTACAAGCGGCACTCTGCAGTGATTTGATGGTGGTGCACAACTGAGTCAAGATTCTGAAACAATGTTCTAATTTTTTTTTGTTGGTCTGTCTTAAAGCCTTCTTCCAAATGGACAGCCTAAACAGCTCCAACAACAGCCATAAAATCCAAAGCTGATCACTCTGATCTGATCACTCTGAGATAGCCTGGTAACCCTGCACCACCTCTTGCTCCTGAAATTCAGTATTGTGTAGTAGATAGACTGTTCATCAGCTATAGTTATTGGGAAGCTATGTTTGTTATACCATGTCACAAACCACTACAGTGTCATGATTTCACAAATGCCACCAGGGTAATAGGTTCAGGCCATACTGCTGCTCACACAATCCAAGAGCTAGTGTCTCTATCAATTATGATCTCCATCTCAGTAGACAAAACGTCCTATTCAAAAAGGCAAGATTCAAAGGGTACTGTTCAATCCATCAGAAGTAAATTCTCACTGTTTTGGCTTCAGCATACTATAGGCAGATTGGTTTCTATGAAGCACTGCATGTGGTTGTTGTGCTTTGCACTGATTTGTTGAATAAATCTAAAAAAATTCAAGACTACAAAATTCAGACTGGTGCAAAACCAATTACCTTTTATACGCTCCAGCATATCGACCAAATTGAAGCTTCCGGAAAGGTGCAAATTTTCTATCCATATTTCTCTTCAGCCGTAAAGGTCCATGCCACAGGTAGTTGCCGCTTCTTTCATAAAGCACTACTAAATGGATTGTATGTGATGCCATCCTGAATATATAATGAAGAGGTATTTGTACACCTGACAAGTCATCCATTCCTTCTAGTCGTGGATCTCCCCCCTCATATTTGTGCCACTGAAATCCCATCTTCTCTGCAGCACGAAAAAAAACTACCCTGAAGTGGAAACAACAATTAGTAAAGTGGGAAGTGTGAGCTCCAAGCTAGGTTCAAAGCAGTATTAAACCCAAAACCAAAAATATTGCAGCTTACCAATCTTAGATGTAGTGGCTGTATTAGTTTTCTTTTTTAGCCTTTTTCCTGCTGTTTTCACCTAGTGATCTGGCCAGTAGCATACCTCCTGTATTAGAGTGCCCCCACTTTGCATTGTTAATCTGGGGGAGGGGAGTGTTAAATGTACTAGCTGCTTTAGATATACTAACAAACTGAAGAGGAGCTCCAGCTCACATTTTATAATTGTGACAGCAACAGTGTTTCTTCTTTTTGGATAAAGGTTTTACATAAATAAAAGCTGATTATTGTAAGCACCCCTGTCAGTAGTAAATGACTTGTCTCCATCATCAAACTTAGGGTCTCAGTCTCCAAACTGCATCCCGTTGGCTAGATGTGGCCCTTTGCTTGCCTTTATCCGGCCCTTGGGGCACTTCTCCTTCCATTGATACCAAAAATGGAACACTATTCCTCCCATTGACACCAAGAATGGCATACTATTCCTTCCAGTGACACCACTGATGGGGAACTATTCCTCCTACGGATAACAGACATGGGGAACTATTCCTTCCATTGATACTAATGATGCGTACTATTCCTCCCACTAACACTAATAATGGGACACTACTCCCACTGGCACCGATGATGGGGAACTATTCCTCCCACTGACGCCAATCATGTAATTTTTTTTTACTCCCGCTGATCGCTAAGTCTATGGCATTTTTATTCCCACTGGCCACAGTTCGCCACCCCTAGTCTGAAGGGCAGTAAACTGACCCTTTGTTTCGAAAGTTTGGAGATCCCTGCTGTAACTGATACATCTGCAGGAGAGCTTGTTATGTAGAAAAACAACAGACTTACTGGCTGGATAACCAGATGAAAACAGAAGAAAGAAAGTCTAAAATGAAAACTAATGCAGCCAGCACATCTAGGAACTGGTGAACTGCAATATGTTTGCTTTTTCAGTTTAATACCACTTTAAATGCTATTTGTAGAGATTTTGTTACATTCTTGTGTGTCACCAAGACAGGATGTGCCAGGGAATGTTTCACACTCATTATGTATTGGAAATTTATTGGAAAAAAAAAAAAAGTTATGGTTGGACACCTGTTTTAAATAATACAACTGTTCTCCTACCCAGAACTCTGGGAAATCTGCATCACCAATGCTGCACAACTTGTGAGAGACATTGCATTTACTGCAGTGCTTCAATCTTTTGTTAATTATGCAAAAATGTTAAAGCAGTAATAAACCCAACCCCAAAAATGTAATATTTTGCAGCTTTCCAGTTCTTAAATGTGATGGCAAAAACAGTTTTCGTTTTTTTTGGGGATTTTCCCTCTGTTTTCACCTGATGATCTGGCCAGTAACATTACAGTGACCCCACTCTGGATGCACAGGGGCACCTTTGGACAGCAACATTGTCAATCTGGGAGGAGGGGAGAGTTAGCTGGACTAGCAGATTTAGATACATTAATAATGAAGCCAAATTCAAGTTTCTTTTGGAAAAAATGTGTTACACGAATAAATAAAAGCTGATCATTGTAAAGACCTCTGTCAGTGGTAAATGGTTTGTCTCAACATTCTAAGGCCCCTTTCACATGGGCATTCTGTCTGTCCATTTTTTATCTATTCATTGTCAGATGAAAAATGGCAGCAATGCATCTCTAAGGGCAAAACAGATGATCATCCATTTACTTAGTCTCTGTCCTGTTTAAACAAATGAATGTAAATGGACGATGTCTGTTTTTACATTCATTTTTGCATCTGTCAGGGGACTCATCCCAGCTGTAAACCAGCAGGGATGAGTCACTGATTGTTAAGCAGCCAGCGCCCGCCAGCGACCCAGTGACTCATCCCTGCTGTCAGCTGTGGAATTGACGGTTGACACATGAATGTAAATAAAAGGAGCTGTCAGTGAAAAAAGAAAAACAAAAAAACAGTGTGTGGGTCCTCCAATAACCCTTCCCAAGCACTTTGAGTCTGATATGGATTTTAAGAGGGACATGCCAAAAAAATGCTTGGGGCCCCCACTCCCCCAAAATCCATACCAGACTCTTATCCGAGCATGCACCTGACAAGCATGCCCCCCCCTTTTTCATGCCATGCCCTTTACAGGGGGGGACATCTGAGTCATAGTTGTTAGGAAGCTGGTGCTGAATGTAAACACCGATGTGAAAACTAATGGAAACAAAATATGTTTTTTTTCTTTGAAAAAATGTGACCGAACAGATGACACTCGTGTGAAAGGAGCCTAACTGATACATTTGCAAGAGAGTTTTTTCAGTTTGATAATAACAGACTTACTGGCTGCTTCACCAGATGAAAATAAGGGAAAGAAAGCCTAAAAAAGAAAACTAATGCAGCCATAACATCTAAGAATTGGTAAGCTGCAATATAATAAGTGTCTGTTTTTGTGTTTATTACTGTTTTAAAGTGTAACTATGATCAAAATAAAAAAAGACACATTTCAATAACTCAGCAATATTTGTCTTTCAGGGGTCTCTGCTGTCACAGTTCTATTGACTGTTGATCCTGCCATCAGGTTCATTCGTAACCAGCTTCTTGTAACAAGGTGACAAAGCTGTTCATTCTGTGTAGAAATCACAAAGCAGCTTTGTCATCCATCTAAGAAAGATTGGGGGTTATTTACTAAAACTGGAGTGTGAAAAATCTTCTGCAGCTCTGTATAGAAACCAATCAGCATCCAGGCTTTTTGTCAAAGCTTAACTGAACAAACTGAAGTTAGAAACTGACTACCATGCACAGCTGTACCAGATTCTGTGTGCATTAGTTTTTAGTAAATCCCCCCATTGTCTTTTAGATGGACATTTAGTTTTAGATGGTCTTTAAAAAGAGAAGTTCACCCTTTTTGTTAACATGTTACACCAATATTTAGGATGCAACATGTTACTGTTGCAGCAGTCACCGCACCCCCTGATCCCCTGAGCTCTGTGAATTGGAGAACTACGAGTACAGACAGCCTTTGCAGCTGTCAATGAACTACTAGTGTGCTGATGAGCGGCATGAGGTACAAGCAAACAACTTACACTGACAGTCTGCGGGAGCTTTGCATTGCACCAGCAATCTGCTGATCGCGAATGCAATTTTTTGCAGGCTCCTAGTAAAAAAAAATAACGTGTGCATTTTTTAACAGCAAAAAGACATTCCATTTATTTATTTTTTTTAAATTCTTTACAAAGATGAACTTATTTTTTTAAATGATAGACAAACAAAATAAACTCTAGCTTACACTCTTTGAGCAGTTAGAGCAAATTTTTTTTTCTTTTGGAGAAAAAAGAAATAAACTATATAAATATAAACTATAGTAGTCAGCCCTGCTGTTATTGTGATTTGATTTGTCTCAATCAATTAACAGTCTGCTTTTGCAGCACAGCTTGTCCTGTTTGTAAAGGTGAAGAAGAATTATAAATAAAAACGTGAAAAAAAAGGAACACTGAATATTTTCATTACAGGTTTCAAACTCATACCGGAATACAAAATGTTTCACTCTATTGGTCCTTTACTAGGTAACAGTACAACACTTGTACATCCTTGATGTAAAAGTCCCCAGTGTTTTGTTCTTTCACTGCTTTGATGCCACTTGGCAAGCAACGTATGTTCCAGGAGACAGCCACAGATAAATACATCTGTCTCCCTTCTCAGGCTGAAACATGTGATCAAAGCAGCCATTACAATTTTTGCCTATCTTCAGGTTGCTTTCACAGGAGAAATGGGAGCGTCAGAGCACCAAAATGCAGCCGGACCTGCAGTGCTCCCCTGTGTAGCTACTCACTCTTTGCATATCTGCAAAAAGGAGATACAAACAAAATGCGCATCAAACGAATGATCAACTATATTGTACTTTTTAGGACATTTCACAGGAGATTATTCTTACTTTGTGTTCCCACATCTTATCCAGAAGTGCAAATGTAGTGACATCTCTTTGCTTGCAGAAGTACTGACATTCAGATGGTGTGCTGTCCATATAGCTTCTCAGTTGTTCCACATCTTTAGCTAGTAGTGGCAGAACCACAGGATCCACCAGAAATACTGGGACATTATGATGGGAAGCCAGATTTAAAAAATTCTTCACACTCGCTGGATGATATTAGACAAAAAAAAAACAATAAAATACTATTAATTTGCAAATTATTACTGCAAATTTTTTTTATTAGTATATCGTGATGATCAACCTTGTTATTCAATCACATATAATTTTTTTTCTAACTAAATAACTGTTCAGTAATTTTCAAGTTTTTTTGTATTATGCGACCTCTGCAAAATGTATTTAGTCTAACTACGAGTGATGTTACTGGCCATACACACAGTAAATTTCAGCCATTTCCTGATGAACTGGCTGAAATTTGTTCAGGGGCATGCCCTTTGTTTGCCACCCAAATTCTTTTGATTGAAAAACCGAGGGAACCAGGCAGAAAATTGTTGGCTGAACAGCCCCTGCATCCAATCAGATGCAGACGCTGTTAGGATATTTTAAGAGCCGTCGGAATTGACTTTCAAAATACAAGAGCCACGGCAGGAGATTCGACCATCTATGCTGTGTAGCATGGATGGAGGAATCTGTTATAATTTTATCTGTTCAGCCTGCAGGCTGAACGGGACAAAAATTTCTATGTGTATCGACTGCAAAACATCCCAGGCTGATTGCCCTCAAGGCAACTAGAAATCGGATGAGTTTTTTTAGGGTCAGCAATAAGGACGTCTGGTTGTATTAAACTGCACACTCAATTAAAAATGTATGTTCAAGGGGGAAAAAAAACAATATTAAAATCTCTGCACATTTCCTAATGAATCCCAAAAACCTGTTATCAGCCCTGCCTGCTAGACTATAAAATTTCACCTCTTAGGGCTCGTTCACACTTGACTTTATTTCTTACTCTTGCCAAACGACCCTATAGTGTTTGACAGGTGTTTAGGAAGCGTTTTTACGCTCCTCAAATGTTCCCCAAACGCTCTATGCACGGTTTTGAGGCATTTGATAGGCGTTTGCCAAGGGTTAAAACTGCACCACAAGTGCCTATAATGAAATCAAATGGTATTAACTCTCCGAAAATGCCTCGCAACCACACTGCAAACATCTGCCAGGCATTTGAGGAATGGCACCATAAACTTGAATGGGAGGATTCAACTCCTCCTAACTCGGCATGAGGCACCAGTATTGCCGCGACGGGAACGCTTCAGTGTAAACAGCACTGTGTGCTGTCATGTGCAGAATTTCCCCTGTGATGAAGAAAAAAAACAAAAAACTTTTTTTTTTTAATTGTAAAAAATGAAAGTTACACCCAAGCACATACCACCCCCCCAAAAAAAATTGAGGTCCCCCACCCTCACAAATATGCACATACAAACGTAAAAGCACACGCTTGGGTCACCTACACATGAAGACGTCGATTGTGATACACATGTCACATATCGCCGCACAGGCCAGAATGAGAGCAATAATTCTAGCACCTCCTCCGTAACGCTAAACTGATGACCTATAGGGAGTGTTAAAAGTGTCGACCTATAGAAAATATAGGGTACTAAAGTTTGTCGCCATTTCACGAGCGTGCACAAATTAAAGGCTTGACAAGTTGGATATATTTTTACAAAAAAATGGGGTAATTTATTGCTTTTTTGTGCCCTGAAATTAACTTACTTGCATTTTGTACTGAAATTCTGTGGTAATATCATGCAACATAAAAAATGGGAACTACCACTATTTTATTCTCTAGGGTCTCTGCTTTCAGAAAATATATAATGGTAGGGGGTTTTATGTAATCTTCAGGCCTAAAATGATTTTTTAAACTTGTGCAAAAACGGCTCTGGCAGTGAAAGGGATAAAGGATAAGCCATGACCCACCCTTTCCTGAGGAGCAGCCAATCGGTGCTCATAACACTGCAAGGTCTCTCTGCTCCCTGCTAGTCCCTGAGTGCGGTGCTGGAGACAGGCAGGGAGGGGAGGAGGAGATAAACAGCGCAATGTTAAAAATATTAAACGTTTAAGTCGCCATAAAGCCCCTTTTGTTTTTAAAAGCCCCAGACATTACATAAAGCACCTCCGATTTAAATACAGTTTTGGTTAAAAAAAAAATTTTTTTTATCTGAACAAGTAGATTGTCATGAGGGACAAGTAGATTGGGAACCCGATTTAGTCCCTGAACAAGTAGTTTCTTAAAAAATTTCCACACCCCTGTACAGGGTATAAATATTTCTTGATACAGTTAAGTGGGTTTGGATACTTTATTGTTCATAAAAACCTTTATGAAGACATCCATTTGGAGCAACAAAAGTTTACATTGAATCGTTAAATATGTTTGTGCTCACCCAGTTTGTTCCGTCTTGTGCTGATAATGTTCCTTTCAGCTTCGAAAAAGCAGGTCCATGCTAGAGAGAAAAAATAAAATCAATAAAATGAATATACAAGTATAAAATAGTAAATAATAGTTCAAAACAACTTAGTCTGAGCTTAACCACAAAAAAAGATATGAAGTTGCTTAATAAATACCGAAACTAAATGGAGTGAAGAAAGACCATTTAGGGGGGCTTCTGCAGTGTCTTGTCTTTGCAAAATAACTTGTGGAACAACGCTACAATGTTAATTGAGCTAGAGCTGCAGAAGAAAGCACTGTGCACTACTATCTGCAGATACAGATAATGTACTACAAACACATGACTATCAAGGAGCAGCTTCAGTTGGCAGTAAGGTTTTACTTGCCATTCTTCCTTTTCCTTCCTGTTTTTTTTTAGAAATCACTTTAGCTATGGCTTTAATAAAGTTCATTTTTACATTTATGACAATGCCCTGTACTGTCATCTTTAGCTTCCTTACTGTACCAGACAATACATTTTGGGAGCCGTATATAGAAACTAGAGGACAGAAAATGATGAAACCAATATGAGTTTTTCATTTTTTTTTTTAACTGTACTACTACTGAAATTGTGAGAAATTTCTCTATAGGCCCCCCTGGATATAATAGAGTGCCACCCCTTCTCCCTCCTAGTATGGAGAATCCCACCAATTTTAAAGTGATAATAAGGGCAATTACTAAAAAAACATAACAAACGTCATACTTACCTGCTCTGTGCAGGGGTTTTGCACACAGCAGCCCCAATCCTCCTCTACTCGGGTACCGCACCAGCGCTCCTGGCCCCTTTCTCCTGCCAAGTGCCCTCACAGCAAGCAGCTTGCTATGGGGGCACCCAATCAGGCTTTCTTCTGAGCTGCTGCTATGCATGCCCATTCACACACGGAGCCGTGGTTCTCTCCTCACTGACTCACTGGCTGTGATTGACAGCAGCGGGAGCCAATGGCTCCTGCTGCTGTCTCAGCCATTGAAGAAGAAGAGTCCCTGGAGAGACGAGGCTTTCATGCACATCACTGGATCGCGATGGGGCTCAGATAAGTATTAGGGGGTCTGGGGGGAGGCTGCTATACACAGAAGGTTTTTTTTACCTTCATGCATAGAATGTATGAAAGTAAAAAACTTTGAGCCTTTACAACCACTTTAAGTGGTGGCAGACACATGGATTTCATTCCATCTGCACAACATTCCCCTAGGAGAACATTATCAATACGTTCAAATTAAACATTTATAATCACCACTCTGAACAAACTCACCCCCTTAAATGTCAATCTGATCCTATAGATTCTGGCCTGAATTATTTAATCTATGCTTCTACAGTACCCTCTAAACATACATGTACTCAGGAAGATCAGACCAACTAGGAAAATGAACCAAACAACCCCTTAACATCTGAAGATATCTGGCAAGCTAAACCTGGGTCCTTTCAGATGGGGCAGACCCGTTTAGCGGATCTGCTTGCTCAGCGGGAGATATCTCCACTGATCCCTGCTAAGCAAACAGATGACAGGTCTGTGTCTGCTCTGTTGCTGCACAGCAGACACAGAGCTGCTCGCACTCCTCAATGTGCGGCCGGATGAAAATGGAATGTCTGTCCATTTCCATCTGACTCAATCCGAAGAACGGAAGGAGAATTGGATCCCCACCCGTCCCTTTTTTGCCCATTAGATCAGATTGGATGTCGGAGGGTGTAATCATATCCGCCGCTCCATAGAGGAGAATGGAGGTTCCGATCGGGTCTGCCTGAAAAATGGGCAGGTGGAACATTTGTAGAGATTATGGCCTCTTTACACGACGTTGACATTCGCTTTTCAGGCAGACACGATCGGAACGTCCATGTGAAAGAGGCCAAAAGCTCTACAAATATTCTGACTGGATAAAGATACTTCTCTCTTCATCCTGTTCTATCTGATCAAAATCACCTGATAAGGAAGCCAAGGGAAACAAATAAACATAACAGAGGTTCTACCCTTCTACTTAAAAAAATAATATAATAATTGGTATCTGTGCCCCTGTTCAGGAGATTTCACTTTACTTCCCCTTTTGTCTGACACCCACTGAATAGGAAGTCTCCCCAAAGAGAACACGGATAGCAATACAAACATAACAGAGGCTCGAAGACTTCCCAACGCAATCCAAAACAAGTAAATGGCTTGAGTTAGAGGCTTAGAGACACTCACTGAATAAACAGCTTACCTTTTCTAGGAAATACATTCTTTACATTACTTCCTCATGGTGTGAGCATCACCAAGCAAATGTCAGTAAAACTCGAGGCAAATCAAACAGCATAAATACCATGTACAGTAATTTAGACATTTTGCTAATAATGGTACATTACCTTTGCAGATATATAGTATCTATAATAATACATCTGAAACAGGAGAAACAAGGTACTTGCAGCTGTCAACACAGCCAAAACAACATTCTTGTTGATACGCTGCATCATCCAGGACTCGTGGATACCCAGTTAAAAACTTATACCACTTCTGGTCATCTTGCACTAGTGACATGGAGCCAGATCTGCAAACACAGAAAATTAATGTTGAACTTCAGAAAGAAACAAAATGCATTCATTAATACAGCTCTGTGGTCATTAATACATCTTCATAAGTATTTTTTTTTTAATGAAAGTATTATACATATCTGAACTGGACTTGCTTTTAGCGTCTCAGATTCCTTGAACCGCGGAGCTCAAACTGGGAGAGGGAGAGGAAGCACTAGAAGCCAATCAGTTGTGCTCATGTGCTAACAAGGGACATGCTAATAGGAGGAGAGAACAGAGTGACTGAGACATGGGCTAATCAGGCTGTTACTTCCCCTATCACTGTCCAGTCACAGGCTGGGGGAGGGGCAAGATCTTTCTCCTTCCCTGTCTGATAGACATGGGTTTTGTGGCACATCTGTCTAAATCTCAGCACTGGATGGACAAGAAAAAATGTTTTATTGGCAGGTAAATAAAATTATTTATATGCATTTTATCCATGTTCTTAGCCATTTATTTGCAGTCTAGATTTAAAGTAATAATAAAGTTTCCGTTTTTTTTTATTAAAACAAAAAGGAAAATATGCTGACTTACTCCAGCCTCCTCTTCTTGGGTCCCCCCCCCCCCCCCCCCGCCCAGTGCCACCTTGGGAAACAGCTTTCCATGGGGACACTGGTGCAGGCTCATCCCGAGCCTCCCTGTATGCATCTATTGACACAGACAGCGAGGCCCAGCCCCCTGCTCTTACATCACTGGATTTGATTGACAGAAGTGGGAGTCAATGGCTCCCACTGCTATCAATCTGCTCAATGAGGAGGGACAGAGGCGGAAGAGCCACAGCTCTCGTGCAGAGCGCTGGATTGCGACTGGACTCAGATAAGTATAAGGGGGGGCGGGGGGTTAAGGGGGTAGTCTGTGATACAGAAGGTTTTTTTACTTCAATGCACAGAATGCATTAAGGTAAAGAAAATGTGACACTTTAGGACCACTTTAACTTTAACCATGAAAGGAAGAGCTTGTGATAGCTAAAGCTATGAAGAGCATTTTAAACAAGAGATGATATTCACTGACAAACAAATCAACTCATCCATACAATACATTCATTTCTGGCCAGTGCTGGGACGAGGTATGGAACCCAAAGTGAAAATGCCACTGTACACTTTCCCTGTGCTCCCCACCTCTTCTTTCCCATGCAGAGATGAATACAGCTTACATATCCAGCACATAAAGAGGCTGGACTAGTGCAGGGTACAGAAATCACACTTTTCTATTTTGACCAATCATCTTAAAATAACTTACTGTTACTATAGCTATGAAGTGCTCATTTTATTTTGCAATATTTCAAGTTTATTTTTAATATACAAAAAGAAAAAAAAATGTATGAACAATAAAAAAACACAATAAAAATGGCAGAAAGTTAAAGCAGAACTTTTGAGATTTCATAAACTGCCTCCTGGGATGTGCAACATTTCAGGAGCATCTCGCGGGATCTTGTGAATGTGCCCACACACTACATGTCTATGATAAAGAACTGGAAGTGATCAGCAACATGTTGGCACATACGTGGGGGAATCTGGAGCATGAGTATACACCCTGCGGGGTCTTTGTCTGTCAGCTTCCATGGTCCTTGCAAAGACCTGTGGTGTTTCCACACATCTGCAGGATCTAAGGTAAAGATGGCAGCGCTGGAGAAGAGTGGTGAAGGGAATCTATGTTCTAATCTAAGCAGAACAACAGTATGGTAAGTAGGGGTTTTTTTTTAAATTTGAAAACAGCAACAAGTGTTAGCGATTGTTGGGTGGGGTGTTGGCAGGCTTAACGTTCCACTTTAGGGAAAGTAGGGAGAGGATAGATTTAAAGTGGTTGTAAATCCTTACCTATATCCAGTAAAGTGACTGGCCTCAGGTGAAACCTCTTTATCTGCAGCCAGTTCTCCTGTACTTCCTTTTAATACTAAGAGATGAAAAAGATTTTTCACAGACTCACAAAGCAGGGGTTGGGCAGCTGTAGTAACACACTGTACAAGAGCTCTGAAAGCTAACTTATAGGGAAGAGACACATCTCCCTTCAAACAGCTCACAGGAAACAAAGCTGAGGCTATCAATCACAGGCTGTGTCCTGGAGGTCCATCACCTTTTTACCTCTTGGTGTCAGGAAAGCTTGTCAGAAGTGACTCATGCTGATAAAAGATTAACTAGACATCGGAGAGAAATGACACTTAGTGCTTTGGAGAGAGGCAAGTAAACACTATAGAAATGTGTGGTTTGGTCAGGTTTCAATCCCTGAGGTTTACAACCACTTTAATTCAGGTAATGCATTAAAGCCCAGCTCCTGGAATGTATTTCCCTTGCAGTGCGGCACTGCGTGGGTTAACTGCTCATTTTTTTTCTAGGGGAGAGGAGAGCGGAGACATACTTACCTGATTCTCCGATCTTCCCACCACAAGACCGATCATCACGCTCAGAGCAGGCTCCATGGACCAGGAACAGTCCATCCCTGAACTGTGGGGGAGCACTGTTTTCTGTAGGATCGGGTAAGTATAAGCTTTCTCTTCACCCCAAGACAAAACAATCAGCAGACCCATGCAGTGTGGACACAGCCCCACTGCACAGGAGAAAACAATTTGCCTGGAGAGGGGCTTTAAAGAGGAGCACCGCCCAAAACAGGGAAGCTCCGCTTGTCTGCCTCCGCCCCCCCCCCCTCCACAGCCACATTTGGCACCTTTTGGGGGAGCAGGTACCTGGTTTTGACAGGTACCCGCTCTCACTACCGGCTCAGTCCACCGCGGTGAACTGACCTGGAAGTTTGCCCCCCCCTCCCCTTCCCCCCACAGCCTTCTGGAAAATGTCAAAACTCCCAGAAGACTGCAGCCTGTTCCTGGAGGGCAGCACGCTTCATACATGCGCAGTAGGAAACTGCCGGTTTCCCTTAGTCAAGATGGCGGCACCAGCACCTGACAGCCTATTAAAGAATAGGGTCAAGTGAGGACACCAATAGATGCCTACACAGATTATTGCCCTAATATTAAAAGTCAGCAGCTACAGTATTTGTAGCTGCTGGCTTCTATGTATTTTTTTTTTTTTGGGGGGGCAGAATTCCTCTTTAAAGAAGAACTCCGGGATAGGCAAAAAAAATCAACCATTAGTCCACCACCCTACACAAAACACTAAACAGTTAATATATTTGTGAAATTCTTTACCATTGAAATGAAGTCTAGTTGAATTTTCAGAAAGTCATCTCTGTAATTCAAAAGATAAGGGCAACTTCTCTGCCAAGGAGGAGGTGTAACAGCAGGGATGACATCATATACTCTCCTCTCAGGAAACTACACTTCCCATCAACCTTTGGGAATTGTAGTGAATGTGGGTGGGTACACTAGGCCTGTACATGTTGAATGTGTACTTGCCCACTTCAGCAGAAAACATGCCCACACATTCCCCAGCTGCCCCTGCTATCCTCACATGTGATCACTCACCCTCCAGTCACAACAGAATAGGAGCCAATTGACCCAACATTCTGTTTTTCATCCCAGAATAAATATGGCCACAGGGCCAGAATTCGATTGTTTATTCACTGTTGTCTGCTGGCATTAAATGTTAATCCTAGTTTTCTAATAGCCGCCACTGTTTGCATGCTTCCATGTGATCACATTCCCGGCCACAACATAACAGAAACAAAGCACCGGGACATAAGGCCCCATTCACACTAGGGTGTTTAAAATTGAACTGATGCAATTCTACCCGTGATTTGAAATCGCAATGTGAAAACGCACAACTGTGTGTTCTGGTGCCATCCAGGTCAATGCAACAGAAAATTTGCCATGATTGAGGCACGGTTTTCCACGCGACAAACGCACTTTGCTGCGATTTTACCAGCCATTTTGCCACAATTTTGCTGTGCTTTTACCCATGATTTTGTCGCTGTTTTACCCAGAATTTTGCAGCAATTTTGCCATGATTTTACCACAATTAGGGTGCATTTTTGTTGTGTTTTGGATGCATTTCAGACCTGGTTCACACCAATGCAGTTTGTGTTTTGTCCATTTTGCAATGCGGTTTGCATTTTTGCACACGTGTTTTGCGTTTTTTTTTTTTTTTGGGGGGGCCAGCTTTTTGCTGGGCAGATTAAAAATGCAAAACACATCAAATTCATACCACGTGTGCATTTGTTATGCGTTTTCAATACATTTCAGGCCCAGTTCAGAAAGCAAAAACTAATACAGTGTTCGTTTTGTCCATTTTGCATTTTTTGGTGTATTTTTTCATGTGTTTTGTGGTTTTTGAATTTTTATTTTTGGCCAACTTGTTGCTGAGCAGATTAAAAATGCAGATTAAGGCTCTATTCACACTAGGGCATTTCGAATTGTGGGCAGAATCGCCGCTATTCTACTTGCAATTTCAAAACGAGTTGTGAAAATGTGAAAAAGTGTGTATGTGTGTTCAGGTGCCATACATTTCAACAGCACCTGAAAATGCGGGGGTATTTGCCGTGATTGCAGCGTGTTTTTTCACGCAACAAATACGCTGTGATCGCATAAGCAAATTTGTGGGATGCATGATACCCAAAAAAGGGTTCTGGCACATCTGGCGATGTTGAACAAAAAAAATGCACCGCGATTGTAGCAAAAACGCCCAATGCTTTCAGGTGCCATTGCAATGAATGGCAGCTGAACACATGATTGCATTTTCGCAGCACATTTTCAAATCGCAGGCAGAATGGCAGCAATTCCACCCATGATTTGAAATCCCTAAGTGTGAATGGAGCATTAACCACTTAATACCGGGCACATACAAAAACAGACAAAATGTAAACTTCAGTAGTTTTTTGTGTTTTTATGCACCAGCCCTGAAATATATTGAAATTGCATGTGTTACGTTTTTCAATGCGTTTTTAATCTGCCCTGCAACCAGTAAATTTTAAATAAAATTAAAAAAAAAAAATCAAAGACGCACATGCAAATACGC